TAGATCTATTTGTATATGGGATATCAAGTAAGGAAAATAAATAAAACCTTCAGATAAATGTTATTAGGATGTATTATCTTAATTTCAAACCCCTGAATTTTAAAACATTTAGCTTCCAGAAAATGGTATTTATTTTTGCATTATATAGTTACCTATTATCCTATTCGTTTTATCTCCTAAAAATTAATTTTATAAGCATAAGGTGCTTTAATTTTAAGAGGAAAATTTACCAATTATTAAGGTTTTGATTTAAGATCATTATTCAAATCTAAAGGAAGCTTCTTTTTAGAAGGTGGATTAAAATATAAATGATAGCTTTTTTGGTTTGTAGAATCAAAATTAAAAAATATAATTAATTATCATTTTTCCTTTTCAATTTTTGACTATATAATTTTTACAATTAAATTTATCAATTTGTTTTATTATTTATAGTACCATAAAGATTTTGTATGAATGATTTATAAGTGTGATATTTTTGTTTTATTCTTGAATTATTTACACATTCTAAAATATTTCTTATGACTTTCAAAGACTTATTTTTAAAAGTATTAATTAAAAATAAGTGGATCTTCGAAGAAATTTTCAAAAAAAAAGATTTTTGGTAAAACGTGATGAAATAATTTTTTTATTTCATTATAAAAATTAATTATAAAGGAGCAGTATAACAAAATAAATAAATCAGATAAGATTGATTGGAATTAATAATAAGAAAATTCTCATTGATCAAAAGATTCGTTAATACTTTATTCTCTTAAACCTCTTAGGGAAGATGATCCATTAGATATTAGGTTCTAGTGAACAGTTTAAGATTGGATAAGAGTAAGACATGCTGCAAATAAACAAATTATTTTTTCATAATTGGTTCAAATTAATCTTTTTATTTATAATTATTGCAGATATAACGCTCACTCATAAAATTATAAAGGCTATTTAATTTTTTAATATATTATCAATATTCATATATCAGAAGAATATTTTTATACCATCTAAAAATCCAAAAGATTTTAAAATTTATGAAGAGGTTTTGGAATTAACCCTAGGTGAAATCTCAAGTCTTTTGCAATGATCACTGTAATTGATCACAGAATCCTAATAAATTATTAGTAAATTTAGAAATAAATCTGAAAAAGTAGGAAAACAATTTTAAATATCTGTAGTATGACTACTTAATGTTCAAAACAGTAGATAGCATTACGAATTTTCACAACAACATCTTTGTAACTTAAGAAGTTGAATTATATACATAGATTTTATGAATCTGCAAGAAAAACTCCAAAATGATTCTTAATTTAATTTATTATTTATTCTTTAAATATTGCCATACTATTTTCTTAGATTGATTAAAAGCAAGGTGAAATAGAAGCAGTCACTGAGCCCATTGCTGAGAAACTAAGAAACTATATTTATTGTATTTAATGATATATATTTTGCCTAGAATATGGTATCGAAAAAATAATTATAAATTAATATTTGGGATAAGAAGATGATACACAAATTTATTTAGTAAATAAACCCTTTTATTAATTAGAAGTAAAATCTTCAATTGGATTCTCTTCAAGAGTATAAAGGATTTGGGAAAGCT